TTTCCCAGCTATAAGTACGCGCGAAGACAACATGTTCCGAACAGCGTAGCTCTGATAAGCGAGTGCAAAATCACTGGTATTTGCAGTACTTTCGAGCTCTTGCAGCAACTTCTTCTGTTATACTGCCCCATGGTCTCCGGGAAACCCCCAGGGACTTGCCACCCTAGACCCTTCGGTTTCAAAGCTCTGGGTTTAGTCTTTAATCACGGCTAAGGTCTGCCACGGCTTGATGGGGACTGGCAGGGCGGAGTCTGCTCTCCAATTCTGCTCAAAGCCATTGCAAAAGAAGTGTGTTTCAGCTGGGGGGTCATTTGGCTATTCAGCTTGTGACAACTTGAGATGTCTTTAAATATGTATTTTACATGGAAAAAGCATGCGAAAACTGTTATTCTCAACACTCTTGTGAAAGAAACTGGTTCGACATGGCTTGACATGCTGCAAACTGGGAAACCAAAACTGCAAGCTGGCAAAAGACATGAATCGTACTTCCAAGGGACTTGTGAACCAAATCTGTCTGAACTATGGGCTGCGCGTCTGAAGTCGGTAGAACGGAAATCAAGTTTCACAGTAAGTGTTTTCCTTCTTGACGATTTGGGGTGTTGGATTTCGCTCACGTTCGCCGGCAGTGCTCTAAGCCTGCTGCCGCCAACTTTTTGTTGGAATATGCCTTGCTGGGTTGAGGATTTAGGGTCAGGGTGCTAGCCTGTAGTTTCGCATGCGGGGCTCGAGTACTCCAAAAAACGGAGCTACAATGTTGCATTGAGTGACATCCAAGAGTCGTTGAGAAAGACAGCCGCTGCTTCTTCCAAGCCCTCGCTCTCTACTGCACTACCACAAAGATGTCTGATCGAGAGCTGCTCCAACTTGTGCTCGGATACAATGCGACGGGCCTGACTCACCGTTGAATTGCAAAGCACCTCGTAGCCCACGCAGGACATCCCCAAAGCAGCCGCGAAGAAGCATTGCTCTCCCAGGCCACTTCCCATGACGAAGGTCAGTGGGCGCTCGCTGGCCATCCGAGACGAGTGCGCGTGGGCTGTCTCCATCACCCGGCGAAATCCTGTGAACCAAACTGAGCCAAAGGATGAAGCGCTGCCGAGCCGGTTCTGCGACAGCCCGAACACTGCCACAGACTCGAGGAGAAACGGAACCTAGTGTTTCTTCAACACTCTCCCGGGATCTTTAAGATATTCCTCTTGCAGCGGCTTTAACTTTAACTATCGTGAACCCAAGAGAAAGGAGGGGGCAGCCCCACGAGGCACTACAGAACCTGGGCCTAGGCACAAGCCAGGCTTCGTCCGACTCCAGTGATCGAACGGCTGCCAAGGCCAAGGGCAGCTTCCTGCATCGGAGCTGTTCAGGGATCAGAGCAAATTTGGACGCTACACAGCTATACGGGGAAATAACAAGGCTATCATGCATCAGAAGAGCCTCTAACACCAGGGTGCTAACTAGAGTTGACAACCATCGAAAAGGAAAACCATGGAACACCCATAGTGATCCAGCTTCCTCAGGGCTGGCACTCGGCAAGCGTCGGCGAAAGATGCCGCCTCTTTTCGACGAGTCTCGAGATACAGCGCCTCATCTGGCAAGTTCATGATGAGCGAGCTTGTGAGCCGGCCTGCCTCTCAACTGTGGTTCGTGCAACGCAATTCAGTAATTATGTTACTGTTATGAACCCAGCTCACGAAACTTGAACATCATTTCCAAGAGCGGTCTACGCCTCCCGCCGCAGCTGCACGGCACGTGTCAAGACCTTCGTGGCTTCTTCGTTGGCCCCCCGCGCTGCCAAGAAAATACCAAGCCACTTGTAAATGTCGAAGCGCTCGCACTCCTCCGGTACGAATTCGATGGCCTTGCGGTAGCTCTTCTCGCTTGCCCGCAACTTGCCATGCTTGTGCTGCAGCCGCCCTAAGCCGAGGTGGGCGAGGCCAATGGAGGCATCGAGCTTAAGGGCTGCCTTGTAAGCCTTTGCCGCTGCGCCATCCCTCCCAAGATCTTCATAAAGAGATGCCAAGCTCACATACAGAGACGGAGCTGGAGCTTTTGCCTTCTCCAGTGCCTCTAGCAGCAGCTTCTCGGCGCCAGCATAATCCGACTGGGCCTGTTTCAGCTCGGCGAGGCCTTTGATGGATTTCAGATGCTCGGGCTCAAGCCGCAGGGCGGTCTGGTAGCTCTTCTCGACGTCTGACGGCCTGCTGCCGGCGACAGACTGGATGTAGCCTAGATTGGCCCAGGCGCCTGCCGAAGTGGGGTTCAAACGTGTGACCTCTGCAAAACTCTGCCTGGCAGCTGCCAAGTCCCCGAGAGAGGCCAAGAGTTGCCCCAAGAAGTGATGTGCTTCTTGACTCGACGGCTCCAGTCGAAGGGCCTCCTGGACGCTCTGAACTGCAGCATGCTGCTGCCCTGCTGCAGACAGCTCCCGCGCCTGAGAAAGCAAGTGTTCCAGGCTCCGAGAGGCAGCCCCAGCCTGAGCAGCAAGACCTATCAGTAGGAGGCTGGGGAGCAGGCAAGGCTTCATTCCAGCTGTGCTAACCTTGAGCTCACGCTGCATTGAAGTTGCTAAACGAGAAGAGGCTCAGCCCTGACCCGCCTGACGCCTTGAAGATGCGTCCGAAGCCTGAAGCCACCACTTACCGTGCCACGGAAAGCACTCATGGATAATGTTCGAGGTCTGGGTTAGCATGGTGGGCATCCCATGTAGGATTCGGATAGCCAAGCAGAAGGAGTCTTTGCTTTGTATTCGTCTACGCACTAGACACAAACCCAGTGTTTGGCACAGGCTGTGAGAGGCCGCATCAAATTGAGTATCAGGGTGTGGATGCTGGGGCACAGGCTTCGTTCTGACATGTTCTGACTTTGCCCCTTGCAGGCACGGGCTTCGGGCGACCCTGCACCGAAACAACCCGACACAGGCAATTCCTACATCCAGGAGATCTGACACGTGTAAGGCTTTTCTGCGTGATCCTTCAGCTTGAGGCCTGGGTGTTCAGTGTTGAGGGCCTCTCTTCGAAAGGAGCGAAGATGAGCGAAGATCTGTGGGGCCGAACATCAGCCGAACACTTGACGAAACCATGCATGCTTTGCCTTCGGATGCTTTGGAAGGCATGTTCGATCTTGAAGACTTTCATCGAGGTCACATCTTGAAGAGCTACATTGTCAGGACTGGGCCCAAGCCCGATGGCACGTTGCACTGGCCCTGGTAATTCTCTCCGAAGCAAACGAGCTGACCATCCATAGCGACAGCACAGGTGTGGCGAAGCCCTGTAGACATGGCAAGAAACGAATCCAGGTCTGAGGGAACTTCGCATTGGCCTTCGAAGTTATCTCCGAAGCAAACCAGTCTTCCGTCAGCACTGAGAACACAGGAGTGGTACTTGCCGACAGAAGTTGCCACGGCCATACCCAAGTCTTTGGGGGTGGCGCACTGGCCATAATTATTTAAACCGAAGCAGACCAGGCTTCCGTCTGCAGTCACAGCGCAGGTATGACCGGCACCCATGGAGACATCTCTTATCGGACCTAAGTCAGCCGGGACGTGGCTCTGGCCACGGGGGGTTTCACCAAAGTATTTGAGACGACCGTCGGCTCCAGTGACACAAGTCCTGCACATCCCTGCCGACATCGCATGAACTGGGCCTAAGCCTGTTGGCACCTCGCACTCTCCATCATGATTCTCTCCGAAACAGACCAGCTGACCATTCGTCCCCACAACGCAGGTGTGATAGCAACCCGCAGACACTGCTGCGACAGGACCCATGCTCTGGGGCACATTGCACTGGCCTTCTGAGTTCCTTCCGAAGCAAACAAGCCTCCCATTTGCTTGAACTGCACACGTGTGACAGCAGCCTGCCGAGACGGCCAACACAGGGCCCAAATCGGATGGGACGGTGCACTGGCCACTGGAGTTTCCTCCGAAACAAACCAGCTGCCCATCTGTCTTGATTGCACATGTATGATGAAGACCCGCAGACAGTGTTGTCGTTGTGATTGGTCGCGAAAAACCCGAACATGCTTCGCTTCTCAGGGGCATATTGAAAGCACGCTGTGTGAAACTGCAGCGTGCTGGGACCGACGAAAGTACTCTGCGCACAGCACTTCGAAAATTGTGCAAGGCCATGCTCGCAACATAAGCGCGGCTCAGCTGCAATTATTTTCTGTCCTCTAGCTGGCTACATCCTACGGCCTGCAATTAAGGGCCGGCAGCAGATTCGTTTCGTCCCGCTCGGGCTTCATACAATACAGAAGTGAATAGTGCTGGGATGTCGCAGAGGAGTAACGCGTTTACTTGTAATCACAGGGACAGGTGCAAGAGTCAGTGAAGGATGACACTGATGACACCCACCAAAATCTTGTCGGGGTTGGATGGGTACGTCGCCTGCTTGCTGTATGCAGTCTTGCACTATCGAGCTAGGCTTCCTGAGCCGCTGGACTCGGCTGAAGGGCTCCGGCCTGAAATTGGAGAAGAAGAGGCTTGTGAACCCCTGATGTGAAAGAAGAAGCCCTGAATGCGAACCCCNNCCCCCCCCCCCCCCCCCCGAAAATGCGAAAACCTATAAACCCTACACCAGAAAGCGCCTCCGGAAAAAGGGCCGGCGCCCAATCCGGAGTAAAGTCTCGAGCCAAGATTTACACGATCGTGCTACCCTTTTGGAGATTTGACGGGGAGTTTGGCTTTGGGTTTCGGAGTAGGGTGTTCCTTTCCTCCGTCTTCGGGTTTCAGGCTTTACGAAGAGTTCAAGTTTACTGCTTGGGGCCTCGTGCTTGCAGTCAACACGTCCACTCCTCAGGCCAAAACTCAGGAACTGCAGCTAGGCCACCGAAGCTTGCAAGTCAAGTCTCCCGACTTGAACCTGCAAAGTCCCAATGGGCCTGAACCCGATGCAGAAGTTCTATATACTTGTCCAGAGACTTGCTATAAGACAGATTACCGTTTTGATTAGGATCTCCTCCAGCAACCCCTTCCTTCAAAGACTTGCGCTCAGGTACACTCCACATGAAGAGCTTCAGAGGGCCAGAACTATTTCGAGGAGTTCTGCATTGCGAAGTTCTGAAGCCAAGGACATGAGGCTGGCTGCAGGCCTTAAATTTGCGGGGCTTCAAACGGCCCAGCGTGTAGGATTAGGGTTTCGGGTTTAAGGAGGCGCCGGATAGACTCTAGGTTCTGCTCCGGCTCCAACTTCCAGCATTCCAACCTCCGGGGCCTAGCGCTACATGGCGAACCAACTAAATGTGTGCTGGGCACCGTTTCTCCGATGCAAAGATGTCGCTGGAAACGGCCTCATGCGATTCACGGGGCCGCCTGCTTGATCTGTTGTGAAACACTGTAGGTTCGTCCCCCTCATCCTACACGAAGCAACCCCTTCTCACGGTCTACTTCTGATGGCAGCTACGCGAAGGCTTTACAGACGCTCTCCGAAGACTAAAGAAGCAAGACACGCACTGACTCAATCAGCTGTCATCGCGGCTGGAAGAGCTCTTCTGATGTGAGCCAGCCTATGCAGCGAGATTTCCGACGAGAGCTTTCGAAAACTAATTCATGTATAAGAACCAAGAAAGCCTAAACCGAAACTTCTCGAATGTAGTCTGCCTGCAAGGGGACAGGATCCTGAAGCTTCAGCTTCGTCTTTGGGGCTGCGACGTTGGAACTTTACGCAGGTGGGCTGGACGAGAAGATGGGCAACAACACATGTGGACCCAACAACTACAGGACACCCAACGCCAATGATGCACCCGGGACGAACACCGGAGGTACTAGTAGACCCATGCTCCACTCACCATTCCGTGGGAGTGACACCCCCAGCACTTATGGCTTTGGTTGTTGTAGCCCGCTCTATGTGCTGCTGCTGTCGTTGGTTGTTGACGCTGTTCATGTTGATGTCGTCGCTGTGGCGTTGCCGTTGTGGCTCTGGGTTTACAGGTGTGGTCGTCGTCCTTGATGTCGCCGCGGAGCCGTATTGTGGTTATTGCCGAGATTGTGGCCCATTTTGCCAACTGCTGCATCATGACTAATACTAATTAGTGCGAGCTTCTGGGCTTTGCTTCTTCTGGCACGATACTCTACAAGCTTCTTCCCTGCCTCCTCGCGGCTGACATTAGCTGAACGGAAGTACTGGTCCGACTCGTCATCGCTGCCTCAGCTTGGCTGTTGTATGAGCTTCGGGATATCATAATCATAGTAATCATAACCCTCCATCTGTCTTAATACGTGGTCGTTCAGGTTTGGGCGCTGCAGGGTCACATGCTTTGACGGAAGGTTGAAGCTTGCTGCGCCTAAATCCGAGATTGAGAGAGTGCCACACATTCCCCAACACAATAGCCACCAACCAAACTTACCCGGTAGCTCTGAGCAGCAAAACACCAAACCCCAAGAAGGTTGGTCCCAGCCTGGCCCATCCAGCCCACATCTCATGCCAGCACACCCTCATCACACGAAATGGATGCAGCAGCACAAAGTGAGGCGGGCGCTTTCAGCCTCATGGTTGTCTGTGGTGGCGCGGCTCGTTTCAGTCTGCAGATCAGGGGGTGGGATTGGACCAGCACAGAGCTTGACAAATGTAGCGGATAGAGGAGCCCTCTCAGCATAGAGCAGACCCGTTCGTAAGCTTCGCTTCATTTTCAGGGTTTCAGGACAACGGTGACATTGACGACGACGATGATGGCTTCCGCAGCGGGCGCCCATACTCTCCACAACAGTTGTGCAGAACAGTAAATGAACATCCACTGAACCACCAATGCCAACAAATTTAACCCTGTGCGACCGCAAAGAAGAAGAACAACGACAACAACAACCACAACAAGCAAACTGCTCGGAACAAGCAGAAAGCAGCTTAAGTTAACGCAGTGTAAGTGGCAAGTAGCCGTCAGGAGTAACGATTGAGGTGTTCACAAGCTAGACCCTCGAACCCCTTCCCCAAATCGTGCTCAGGATCTCCTCTAAAGAAGCAGAATGCGCAGACAACTAACTGCAGTCCTGAGAGAGTTTCGGGGGTCCTTCTGATCTCTTTTTAAGGGTCTAGCATCTTATATCTTACTTTTTTCTCTGGGACTGAGAACTGAACACCCCCACCCAAACCCTAGACCTTTATCACCAACATATACCCTGCCCTAAGAACCGAATTCGAGCCTCAAAGCAAGTCTGAAAGGAACCCCTTGAAGCACCAGAGAATCGACTTCAGGCCTCCGAGCTGAGATCGCTAGCACCTTGTAAGCCTCTTGCCTTCGGCAGCAGACGGCACGGGCATTGACTCTTTAGGGCTTTGAGGCTCACATGATGCTTTAAGTAGCCGGCATTGGGACGGTGCATGAAAGATCAGCGCTCGAAAGGTTGAGGGATCTACAGTTCGGAACTTTGTCTGGGTTTCAAGCGCTTACAGTAGCCAAGATTTAGCGATAACTGTCTTGAGAAGCCGGGTCAGGAGGCTATCGAACGCTCCGGGGATGTTGCCCTCGCAAGGGACCATGCAACCTGCCGATTCATAAACACCTTGTCTTTGGACGCAGCCCGAAAGACGCGCATCTCATGTCCACACTTAGAAGCGCTCACGTAGGAAACCCTAGAACACATCTCAAACTCCAAAGACTCCTAAACCCACATAAGCTCGAACCCTAAATCCTACCAAAATCTTGGACCCCTCCCGTAATCAGCCAGGACACAACACCTACCTTCGAAATCTCCCAAGAAGTCTGCATCTTAAACTTTCTAAACCTTCAGTCCTGTACCCGACACCTCAGACCTCAAAGCTCCTGCCCTTAACCCGATAGGCTCCCACATTTTTCCCCTACGGGCACTTTGAACGTCTATAAACCTACAGACCCTTACCTCTTAAGCCCGGAGGCCCTGAACCCGTTTGGCCCTCGAGCCCTCAACCCTGTGAGTTACATCCCCCCAGATCCACTCTTATGTCCCGAGACCCTCAATGCTCTTAGCCCTATTCCCTGAACCATAATGCTGCTTGCCTTGATGCGCCTGTTTTCGGCCCTGTCTTGGCATGCTTGAGCCTGGGGAAGTCTTGAGGACTCTGCAGCTTCATGTCGGCTTCCTAAGCCTTAACCATCAAACTCTGGGTTCGGACCTCCGAAGAACTGGATTCATGCATAGAGCCCTAAACGGGAGTCTTAATCAGATTTTGTGAAGATGATTTGCGGTTTACAGGGGCTCTGGACTGTGCGGTTTGGCACTTCAGTGTTTGCGTTTTCGGGGTTGGCGCTTGATCTTTAGGGTTGCTAGGTTGGGCTCTGGGCTCTAGGGACTTGGGCTCCACCCTCAGCCACTTGGACGCTCGTTTGACGTAGTTAGCATAGTTATTGTTACCAACACTCGCTCTTCGGCCTCACGAACGTCAAAGCTGCTACTGAACTAAATTGAGCATGCATACTGACTGCCACAACTCACGGACAAATGCACAGCTAGTATTGTAGGGATTCTACGGAATACTCGGTAAACTCAACAGTTCCAAGTATACCTCAACAGGGCAGCCATTTATGTTGAACCCGGTCTCAGCCTTCGAAGACTATAGCGATGCGCTATCGAACGCGGAAGGGCTTTGTCACTTAGTCAAATTTCGCTGGCAGCTCCTGGGCTCCCTCGGCCTCATACTCAATCCCAGGGTGCAGCTTCCAGCATGATGCTGATGACAACGATGATAATGGTGACGATGGTGATGATGTGCCGGCATCCTACTGTAAGCACCGGGCTTTCGTCTCACCCTGAAGCTATAGCGTGCTCCTGAGCCTGCGAAACCTAATGCAGGAGCTGTAATACTTAGAACAGGCTTCTTTAGTCATTGTCACACAGAAAAATAGCCCCTCGAAGGGCTTTATTGTCCTATGAACGAAGTGCCTCCCTCTCTTGTCGTTCCAATACCTGCGCCTACAATATACAGAATATGCATAGCATTGCTTTGCCTAAAGCGCATACAATCAAATCTATGCCTCCGCCGCCACACCGTCGTTAACGCCCGGTGCATCGACGATCCTCACCTGCGCCATGGCGCTGTCCGGCTTTAGGGTTCGGAACTTAGGAAGTATAGGGTTTAGGGAGTTCCGGGAATTTAGGGCTCAGAGTTTAGGGAAGTTCAGGCTGTGCGGAGTCTGGGGTTGTGAAACGCTTTAACTTGC